TCTCTCTCTGGCAGCATTATTCATCTGTGAAAAGGGCCTATACCCTTTTCAGTTGCACAGTGTCTGGTGTGATACTTGTGTGTGATGTTTTCTTTCTGAAATGAGAGACAAATCTTGAGATGGTCCTGAATGCAGTTGCAGAGAAAGCACAAATACCAAAGTTTGATGGGAGCCCAGGTTTCCTGATGGTAACTTGTTGTGCTAACAGCAGATTCATTTGTTTCCTAATTAATCAGAAAGAGTGTTCTTTTTATTTCAGCCATCTGGTGGGGAGCATGTTGTTTAGCTTCTTGCTACTGCGAATTGGAGCTACACAGGAAAAAGGATGTTTCAACTTCTGTTTTTGGCTTGTTTTTCTAGGTTGAGTCAGTATAGAGCACGTTAAAAGATACAGTAATCAGTTGCAAAGTTCATCTCTCAAGGACTGCAAAAAATGTAACTTAAATTGTCTTTCCTGAAACGATGAGATGATGATATCGACAGTTTAATTGCTTATTATTACCTGTTTTATTCCATGAAATTAATTGCCAAGACGAAAGCGGAATTTCTTTAGTGAACTGTAGAACTATTCTAGGATACTGAAGTTCTTACTGCTTTGTAGAGAACATTCGATGTTGCTTTTACGTTTCTTCTTTGGATTAATGTCAAAAACATATTGCCTGTCACACAGTTTGTCGTTGAGTGTGCCATTAGCTTGCTAACTCCTCACAAGGATCTTAAAACATTGCTTTTTTTTTTTTTTAATTCCTCCCTTTAGCACAGCTTTTCTTTGGAAGCTATATTGTTCTTGTGGAATATTTTCCAAGGAGCAGTCTGTCCCTATGCGATGTTTACTGTATTTTTTTGCCTTGCAGCCAGCAGATTTTAGTACAAACTTGCCTGGGGGTGGCCTTGTCCTATTTTCCTCTTAGATGGTTCTGGCATTTATAGAGCTTGGGAGATAGTGCTTCTGAATTTTCCAGTCTGAAGAGCTCGAGCCAAAACAGCAGGGGAGATAGCAAACCTGTACGTTGTTTGGCTTACGGCAGCTGGGCCTGTTTTTCCTTTGACCTAAAGCAATGGCAGATTTTCTTGGGTTTTATGCGGAGGAGGGGGGAAATGAAGAAGAGGAAAGATACGTGAGGAAAACTGGTTTATCTCTGTACTTGAAAAAAGCAAACCTTCCCCCCAGTCTTTCTTTTTGCAGCCCTAACAAAGGTAACGCAATAAACTCTGAACTACTTCTACATCATGTGTAGAGATGTTCTTTGAGTTAGTTTATGAATACAGATTATTGACAAGGGGCTGCACTTTGTTTTAATATTGCATTAACATTTTGAGCAACAAACTCTTATGTTGTAGTACCATAGCGCTTGTGAAATGGATTTTATTTGTTAGATGACCGTCTCCTTTTGCAGCATTTAGTGACATTTGATAGCTTCCCACCAACCTGTATTTTTCTCCCTTATGTCTTGGTCAGTGAAAGAAACTCTTGCCAATTCCCCCTGTCTCTGCTGGGGAATGAACTTTGATGAATGAATGTGGGAAAATATGAAATACCCCTCAGATGGGTGCCTCCGAGAACATAACAGCTCTTCCAGTTTGGCCCTGTGCTCGGAGAGCCTTTGTTGTCTGTAAACACTGTCTCCACAGTCAGCCCCGCTAAATGAGGTTTCCTGTGGAAGTAAATTTCACTGTTGCTGCCTTTTATGTGTCCTAGTCTTATATTTATCAGCAGATGTTTCAGTTAAGTTTTGCATTTATGTAACAGAAATATTTAGTTGTGCCAGAGTGAATTTATTTCTAGAGGAATGGTTTTGCATGTGTGTGTTAGAATCCCAGGCTTATGAATTCCAGGAGCATAGGAGAGTTTCCTAAAAAGTTTGTGAGAACAGCAGTGAGTGTTGAGGCTTAGTACATGTTTGAAGTGGAACACAAATTAACACTGCCTATGTGTGCCAGGCATTTCCAAGGGACTCATAGTGATTAAACCGGTCTAAAAAACATTATTTCTCTAAAGACTGAGAGAATTGCTGCTTGCATATCTACATTTGTGTGGGACAAACAGGTGACAGATCTTGGGCCTCCTCAGCTGAACATAAAAGGAAAGAAAAAGAATTAATCTTTCTCCTGTTCTAATGTTTTCATCTTTTATAATGTTTGCTTCATAGTTTTTCCTTACAGATACATGAGGATCTTCATGATGACTGTGGTAGGAGAAACTATTGTTTCTGCTGTGGTTCTGGCAAGAGATGATATGCAGAAGCTACATAGCTGCTCCTTCTGTGAAGAGGCTGTTTACCAGCTTCGTACTGCAAATGCTCATCCAGAATAAGAATTTTCTTAATTAAGGCAATTTTGATAAATTTCCCTCCCCTCCTCTTGTCCCCGTTTGCAGCGCTCTGAGTCAGTCAGTGACACTCTCAAATCGTGTTTCATCTTAAAGGGAAGATTACTTGCACCTGTAAATGGATGCAAGGAGCAAGTGGAACACATTAGTCTACAGGCTTCCCGCTGGGATAAGGAAGGTCAGCAGAGACTGGGTGGTGAAGAACCAGCATCTCCAGTCACTCGTGGCTGAGTAGTGGGAACGCGTCAGGCTGTTGGAGTGGGCCAGGAAGGAGCTGAGCCTTTCGAAGAAATAGGCTGGCTGCAAAATTGTTAGGTGTGCCATGTAGGTCCAGTTCTGCATAGCTGTTCTACATTCGTTTTCCTGCCACTTTCCCATTTCACAAGCCCGTGCTGCAGGATGAGGCTTTCATTGCTTCATAGATTAACTTGTTACTCACCTGTCATCTGATTGAAACATCCTCACATTTGCAAGCTTCACTCTTTGTGCACAGGGAGACTGTTTAAATTCGATACATTAAAAAACCAAAAATAATTTAATCCATTCTGAGGTGCTAATTTATCTAATTTTCCTTTAATAATGATCTCTTTTTGGTATTTGTTTTCTTCATTTAACACAAACTTTTTCTCCTTATTGTTGCCCTTTGTTCTACAAATCCCAACAGGCTCTAGTTAATTCTTGTTTCATATCTTCCCCCTTTTTAAAATGATTGTCCAAACTCTGAAGGCAAAACACAGGCAAAGGATGCACAGACTTCTGTGGACATTCTCTCTTGCACTTGAGTGCTGTTCCTCATCTCATTTTTTTCGCTAAAAAATAATTCCTATAATTTGTCTTCTGATTTTTAACACTTCTGCTATTGCTCTTAGGAATAGGTTTCCTTCCCATGTTAAACTCAAGGAGGCTGTAATCACAATTTACTAATTGCTCTCTTCTTTTACTGTTCTCAAGATCGTCTTCCTTAACATTAAGTAGCAGATCTGGTAGATTCTTTGCTGGTACTAATTGCTGTGTAACCAAGTGCCCTTGAAAGTCAGTTATGTAAATGAGCAGCCTAGAGCTGGCCATAAGAACAATGCTGGCTTGAGTTTTAATTTAATAATTGAGGAATTGGAACATAAAATGGTTCTTTAAATCTAAAATAGGATAGAGTCATATTCTTTACTAGGCAAATTCTAATTGCATGAACTATGATATATCAGCAGTTTAACAATTAGTTTAGGCAATGGCTTTGCATGCAGGTGAGCACTTCAGATACTGTTGTTATTAGGAAAAAGCCTTGCATTCAGTTGCTGTAGGTATTTTTAGTTGAGTACTTAGAAAAAGTTGTTAATTTGTTGTGGCTTTAAAATACCAAGTAGAGCAAATGTATTGTTTGCATCTTTTTTTTTTTTTCCTTTCTTCTTTACTTATTCATCTTAAGTCACATTTTTTCTGTAAAAGTTCCTTGCATTTTCTCTGAAGGTGTGTCATACCTGAGTCTCTTGGCTTGTTAAAAAAGCACATGAGTTCTGGACAATGGAGGGCAGTTGCATCATCCAAGTAATTGTTTTGTCTGTTTGGGTAAAGGTTATTTATTGTTATATACAATAAATGAAAAAATCAGTGGGTGCGAAGTTATTTGCAAATACAGGCTTGGCAAACCTCCTCTGGAATTCGGAAAGGGTTTTCCAGCTCGACTTAGTCATTTTTTCCCAAATGTCTTGGCATAACTGATCACTCAGGAGTGACATATGGTAGAAACATGCTCTAAGGGACAAGTCTCCCGGATGGCGCACAGCACCACACAAGATAGACAGATGGTGGCTTATTCAACCTTGGAAAAAGTTTAATCCTACATATTGGCACGGCGGCCTGGGTACCGAGAGAGAGGCACACACATGCCTGTGAAATCTGAGGCAAAGCTTTTGTGAGTTTACTTGCTATTACTGAAGGAACTAGAAGGATTGAGCTGATGTTATACAGCACGAGTGTCTGCAAAATTACGTGTTCAACGTGCTATCCAGAAAAAAGTGATGTTCCTTAGAAAAGTGGAAACCCCAGAGTTAGAAGAATAAAGTTTGTTGAACTTTTCATTGCTGTTTCTAGACTAAAACGTGTTTATTCAGCAAAGCTGTTATGTACTTAACTTATCCACTGATAGCTGTTGATTAATTGAAGTGTCTAAAAGGAGAAAGGGTTTTTTATGTTTTTCATGGTTTTACTTATGTTTCAAGGGTTGCTATTGATTTTGTGAAGTGTATGAGCACTTCAAAGCACAGAAACTGTAATCTTCTTCTTAGGTAAGTTTAAACAAAAAATTACAAATTCCTTGATAGTGTATTTAAATTTAAAGCAGAAAATTAAAACTGTACATGACATTTTTTTTTAAAAAAAAAGAAGCAGAAGAACATCAAGCCTTTCACTTCAATAACCTTTGTGTTTAAGACAGCGAAGAGAGAGAGACAGAATTTCTGACATGGAAAAATGAATCCTTGGGCCAACTTGTTAAGATACCTAGGGAAGAACAAAATCTGCTTTGAATTATTTCTGGAAACCCAGTAGCAATTGGTTGATTGATCTTCTGGAGTCAGTGCTGTGTTCTTTAAGGGTTTTGAAAATACTGACCCATGGAGAACACGAAGGACTGCCTGCCAAACTTGTTTTTTTCCCCACTTTCTTTTTCTTGTAGATAACACTCAGTATTCACAACTAGAAGGAAAAGGAAGAATCTCCTGACTCTGTGGACATCAAAGATATCATTATGTTTATTGGATGAGCTTGAACTAGACAAGACTTCTTTTCGAAACAGTTCAGAAAGGTAAATATTATTGAAACAAGCTAATCTTTTGCCAGTAGAGGAATACCTTGATCAAATTAATCTCATGCCAGTAATATTTCAGCCACACAATACCACATCTTGATGTTTTGGATACATATAGCAATTATTTATATGTATGTGTCGATTTGTGTGTGTAGATACATATCCATATACATAGCTAGAGCTAAACCTTACTAGTAATTTTTACATATTGGAAGATTTTCATTTGTTGGTCCTGGTACTTTTTGTGGAATTATATTGGTTTCAAGGAATTCTCTGAACTGAAAGAGGTGGGGAAGGAAGTGGGAGAGAAGTGAGATGCCCAGAGTAGTTGGCATGTTAGTAATTATTTGCCTGGATGCGGAAGACCCAGTTAATGTTTCTGTTCTGCCTAATGAGAGAAATGACTTGAAAATGGGATCCCAGCTACTGAACTATAAAGGCAAATGGCTCATTCAGCATTGAGTGATACATACCTCCAAATATGGTGCGATGTGAGAGACAGACCACTGCAAAGAGAGAGGCTAATTCAATAACCTATTGTTTAGATGTCAAATTCTTGCTTTTAGCTGAGGGTGCTTTTGTGTATAGTATGAACTATATATATATATAAGGTATATATACATGAAGTATAAAGATATGCTTACTTTTGGGCTAGTAAAAATAAATATTCAGTCTTCCTGAGGATGCAAATACCTTTCAGGTACTTGTTTTCTTGTCACCCTTTTCCTTTTTTTGCTGTGCTCCGTTGGGAGAAATGGTGACCATATCATGGCCAAACCTGAAGCCCTGCAGTATTTACTGTAGAACTAGTTCAGTTTTTCCAATTTTTTTTTTTTTGTCTTCTACTATAACTAATTATTATAGGACTTGGTCAACAAAAAACCTGATAATTAGATTTTGGGCCCAAGTCCACAGTCAGCAAAATACGGCAGTCATCAGTTTGCTGTCTGCCTAGAGCTTACAAGAGTTTCTTACATACTGCATAGAAGGAGTGAGCATTTTGGTAGCCCATGCAGCCCCCTATGACAGAGTCCTGCCTTGCTGTCCTGAAGCATGCTTGTGGGCCTTCCAGACATCATTTATTTGTGAGAAAGAGAGCTACAGTCTGGTGAGATGATTAAAATTCTGCAGATCCACAGCTGACACCTTTTTGACCCAGATCTGAAGTTCAGACTCGGAAATACTTGAGTCCCTTGAAATTTTAAGTTATGCTTCATAGAATTGCTGTTTTTATAATTTATGGGCTAAGCGTGATCGTATCATTGTTGAATTGCTGAACATCAGTGTGTGTGAATCAACCATCTGCTGTCAGGGCTGAGTCTTGCATCTCCCTGGCCAGTGACAGTGGAGGTCACTAAACCGTGATGGCTCTCAGTCAGATGGGAATGGTTCGAGGTAATAACATGGCCTCCAAAGAGGCCACTTTTCTTCAGCCTACTGGTAGTAATGACATTTGGAGGACTGAAATGGAGGAAGAGATTTGCAATAGAGGAATGGAGACTGTGTGAAGACAGAGATGTAAAAGGTTTGGATGTTTGAGAGGAACAAAGGATGGCTTTTGTAGCAGGGTTTTTGAGTTAATTATGGAACCAGATGAGGAACGGAGAAACTGTCTACACAAGAGAGAAGCATCCTTCAGGATTTGGAAAAGAAGCTGCATGTAGTAGGAATTTTTTGAGAGGGCTTTGATGCTTAGGTCACTGACCCAAGAGTGGTAAGGAAACCGAGATAGAAAATGCATGTAGTCTTATTTTATTTTGTCTAGACTTGTGTACTTTGTGCGCTTCCCAAGTGGAGAGTGATTGGGTATTTTGGAACTCGTACAAAGCTTGTGCATGTTTTGCTTCAACCGCCGAATGTCCTGGAAACCCAGAATACCCACAAGGTTAGATTCTTGTGTTAAACTTGCTGTGAAATCTGGGCAGGATGTGGGTTAGTGCTAATGATGGGATCCTGTGCCATCTTGCTCTGCCAGGTCCTGTTTCTCTGGAGATATGGTAATCAATACCAAAGAAATCTAATGCAGAAACTAAGAAAAAGATTTGACAGGAGGTAACTGATCTAAACCAGAGGAGGCCAAAGACAGTTAAGGAAGGACAGACACATATGTGCAGTGGTGGGAATTCTACCATACTGCTACGGGCAAATTGCTCTTGGGCTGCTGAGAGAGCCTCTAAAGTTAAAGTTGAGCCAAAACTCTAAAAATGAGGACTAGGATATCTTGCTGCACAACAAGAAATACATTTAGTATTTATTTGTTGCAGCTGATTCCAAAATGTACTCTCAAGAGGTGCAGTCAAGCAGGAGGGAAGAACAATTCAAAAATCCCCATTTATTCAGTAATCTGATGCTAGGTAAATATGAAGTTGTAATTGTCTTCTATACTTCCCTCCCACCCTGGCCTTGTTGGGATATTTTTTTGAGGTATTAATTCCTAATTTAGTACTTAATCTTCTTTCTTTCTCTCTCCCCCCCAATAGAAAGTCACATTCTTTAGTATGTCTGAAAAGAACTCAACCTTAAACACAGAGGAACTGATTTTTTAAGACACCCTCCCCGAAGTTTTGGGGCTCCCCAAACACCCCCCCCCCCCCCCCCCCCCCCCCCAAACCAACAACCCCAAAATGCACTGGGTTAAAAATGATGTAACCACGTGCAGGTTGCGATGTGCGCTGGGGTGATGTACTACCCTTAAAATCTTTATTGCAGGTAAAGCTGAAAATGGCTGTGATCACTTCTGAGCTTTCAATCTCTCCCCCTTTGTTCTCTCTCCCTCCCCCTTCTGCTTGTGCTCACTTGCTCTCTCTTTAGTATAACACAGTTGAACAGCAGTGAAGTGTAAAATGTGCTTTTGCCAAGGTCAGTTTCTTGTGATTACTCGCCTGTGGCAACTTATGCCAGTTGCAACAGACTGAGTCTCAGCAGTCCACAAAGTCACACTGGTGCTTATGCAGAGGACACCCAGTGTAGGTTATAGTAACCGTAGTCTGGAATAGCTTGCAATGCTGCTGAATTTTAGCAGCTTTATTTAACTCTTCCCATCTAGCTTGCGCTTGCTTCAGTGGTTTGGAGCACTGGGTTGTCCTGTTCTCCCAAGACCCTGAAGGAGGATTTTGCGTAGAGGAAATTCCTGTTGTTAGCTGTTGTTTGTCGTCTTACAGTGGATTGCTCAAATTTCAGGAATTATTCGTAAATTAAGAGAAGGTGAAATACAGCATCACTGACACGCTGTGTCTTCTAAATATTATTTTTTATGTAGTTTTTGTGGTTGGCTTGCTTTGGAGAAAGTCATATCAAGTACTGCTGTATTGACGTTGACAGAGCAGAAAGTGTATATCTACATAGTAAGAAGTATTACGGGAAAGTTTAAGAAGTAGTCTTTTAAAGCAAGAACTTAAAAGATAGTGGCACGCAGTCTTTTTGCCACCTTTAAAAATGTTGTATAAACTCATAGGCATCCAATAACTTTTTGTTAGAAGCTAATGATCATTTTGACTGCTGTGGCTGGGGGATGAATGAGAGATTTGAGAACATCTCTTTTAGGAGAAGAGATCTGTTGGATCCCTTTTTTTTGGTGTGCGCTGGGTTGGGTACCACCAGCTGGTATGCAGTGAAAGGGGGAGGGACCTCCACTTTCATTCCCTTTTCTGGCATATGAGCAAGAATATCCCTTTATGAAGAAATGTTATATTTAGAACAGAAAGGCATGTACTTCCTGTGTTATTTTGCCTATTTGTGCTATCATCAGCAATATACCTGATTTATTTTCATTCTGAAAGTAATTATTTCTATAAGAAATAGTTCTTGGGCTCTATGATAGTGATTTTGAGGTTACCTGTCCATCACTACTGACTACTAGAGAGGCAATAAGAAATCTAGATGATCAGCTGAAGGGCCTCAACTGAACTTTAGTGACCTTGGAAATTCAGTTAAGTGCAAAATTTCATTGCTTAAAATTGATTATGCATTTGGTTCATTTTGAAACTATATGTTGCTGTATTAAGCACTGCTCTCTCATGTTTGGCTCTGGAATGATTCCTGAACACAAGTAAAATAATGGGCCAGCAACCGAGCCCTGATCTTGTAAAACACCCTTGCACAAAGCATACGAGAATATTCCTGTTGTGCTCAGTGGAACTCCCCACAAAACAAGGTGAGGACTGAGAACGTGTAATTTGAGGCACTTCATGAAGGGCTCATCTCATATTTTCTATCTAATCCTGCATCCAGGTTTACAAGAAGTATTTTTATTGATGAATATGTTACTTGTTGCTTTTTTGCATATATGGAAGACAGTGAAATTAATCTTTTGTTGCAAGTGTGTTGTGGACTGACATTTCCTTGTATGGTTTTCATAGCCTATCTGTTCCTATTGCTATTTCAGGCCTTGTTCTTTTGCTTTTAGTAACATCTGTATTGGCCCAACTCTTACAGAACAACATGCTACGACAGGTGTCTTCAGACTCTGTGAAGACAGATTGATCTGTCTACTCAGCTTTAAGGTGGAAATTCATGGTGGAAATGAGCAGTGTTTTAGAATCATAGAATGGTTTGGGTTGGTAGGGACTTCAAAGATCATCTGGTTTCAACCATGGGCAGGAACACCTCCTGCTAGTCCGGGTTACTCAAAGCCCCAGCCAAGCTGACCTTGGTTTTGTGTGTCTGTGTTGTGATATATAGGCTTGTAGCACTTTCAGTAATGCATGATGTCGTTAATTGTTTTAGAGAGAGACAGTGGGAATGGGTGTTTCCTTTAGGAAAAAAACAACTGAACTAGTAGAAGCTCGGCCGAATGGTCTTCAGTAGACTGAGAAATGAACAAATGGATGTTCTTGGGTGTAGCAATATACAACTCTTCCATGCTCACCAGAATTTGTCCCATTCGTTTCCTTTAATCTTAAGGAACTTGAGGAAAGGAAAGAACTATTCAGACACAGAAGTTGGTTTTGGAACATTTCTGATGATGTTCCTGCAGTGGGCTGCTGCTGATGCATGCT